TTATTACAGTTCATTGCCCAGTCAGCCAGATGTTCAGGCTGGATTTGGCATTTTTATCCACCTATCCAGTCCTTCCCAAGGACCTGGAATAAGCAGATGTGGATGTTTGATGGCGGTTAAAGGTATCGCAGGATGGAAGCTGTTCGAAGTAAAGCTGCCTTTTGCAATTGACCGACGGTGGTTTTGTCAATGCCGGAGGTGTTCAGGAGCGCTTCAGTTGTTTTGGGATAGCACCCAAGGCATCTGTGACTACTGGGATTGTTGTTAATATTATTAGCTAAAGTAGCATTTATTAATTTCGTTTCATATAATAAATGTTTGAGGGTGGGGACGAGGGACAATAGGAAATTTCACGAAGGGGTCAATTTACTGAAGAGTTTAAAAGGAACAGAGTGTTTACACAAACATCAAAGCAGCTTCAGCTGAGATTCCCAAACCCAGGACCTTCAGTAACACAGGTACTCCTCGACTTACAACAGTTCATTTAGTGACCGTTCAAAGTTACAACGGCACTGGGGGAAAAAGGGATTTGTGACTTTTTCACGCTTACGACCTTTGCAGCATCCCCAGGGTTACATGATCAACATTCAGACACTTGGCAACTGACTCGTATTTATGATGGTTGCAGCGTCCCCCCGGGGTCATGTGATCCCCTTTTTCCACCTTCTGACCGGCAAAGTCCATGAGGGAACCAGATTCACTTAACAACCGTGTTACTGACTTAACGACTGCAGCGATCCGTTTAACAACCGTGACAAGAAAGGTGGTAAAAATGGCGCAAAGCTCACTTAACAACTGTTTGGCTTAGCAGCGTTGAGTTTGGGCTCATTTGCGATTGTGACTCAAGGACTTACCTGTAAAAAAGATGTTGAGACTCTAGAAAGAGTACAGAGAAGAGCAACAAAGATGATTAGAGGACTGGAGGCTAAAAGATATAAGGAACGGCTGCTGGAATTGGGGATGTCTAGTTTAATGAAGAGAAGGACCGGGGGGGACATGATAGCAATGTTCCAGTATCTCAGGGGCTGCCCCAAAGAAGAGGGAGTCAAGCTATTCTCCAAAGCGCCTGAAGGCAGGACAAGAAGCAAAGGATGGAAACTAATCAAGGAGAGAAGCAACCTAGAACTAAGGAGAAACTTCCTGACAGTGAGAACAATTAACCAGTGGAACAACCTGTCTCCAGAAGTGGTAAATGCTCCAACACTGGAAGTTTTTAAGAAGAGACTGGACAGCCATTTGTCCGAAATGGTATAGGGTTTCCTGCCTGAGCAGGGGGATGGACTAGATGACCTCCAAGGTCCCTTCCAACTTTATTATTATTATTATTATTATTATTATTATTATTATTATTATTATTATTATTATTATTATTATTATTATTATTATTATTATTATGGATCATTGCACAGTCAGCCCGATGTTCAGACTGGATTTGGCATTTTGTCTACCTATCGAGTCCTTACCCAGGACCTGGGATAGGCAGATGTGGATGTTTGATATTATTACAGATCTTGTCGCAGGATGGAAGCAGTTCCTAGTAAGGCCGCCTTTTGCAATTGACTAATGGCTATTATTATTATTATTATTATTATTATTATTATTATTATTTGGATGGAA